TTCCCACCAAGAGCATCTTCACAAACAACTATGCCGATGAATGTTTCAGCTTCACCGCCACGAGTCACCACACCTATTTCTTACGTCAACACCGATAATCGAGAGAGTTCCACGCCAGGAAAAGATCATGCAGACGTGCCGCCGTCGCAGCCGATGTCGAAGCCGTTGTCTCAGCCGCAAATGACCATGTCAACACATCCAAACACTGTGAGACCGAACCCTACCACTGATGTGTCTCAGCCAAGTGAGGAGTTGGGTAAAGGTAAACGAGTCCGCAAGGTGAAAAAAAATCCCTTCTCATTCATGGTTGGCATGTCATCAAGGTGTACATGTGAGGCGAGCAAGAATTGCATTCACAAGAAGGTAGAGGCAATATGCATGGCAGCATCACACCTTCCACAAGAGCCATTGAGTCGTCGTGAGGCAATGGCAAGTCCTGAGAGAGAGCATTGGTTGAAAGCCGAACAAGAAGAGATTGAGAGTCTCATGAAGAGAGGTTCATGGCATCTTGTTGAGCCACCTCTAGGGAAGAAAGTAATTGGTGTCAAATGGGTATACAAGATTAAGGTAAAAGGTGATGGTAGCCTTGATAGGTACAAGGCAAAGTTAGTGGCAAAAGGTTATTCCCAAATCCCAGGTCTTGACTTCACCGAAACCTTTGCTACGGTAGCAATGTACAGTACGAGTCCTCCTTGCCATAGCCGCATATCTTGGTCTCCATATCCATCAAATGGATGTCAAGAACGCATTTCTCTACGGTGTCTTGGAAGAAGAGGCAGGCATAACCAGAAGGTTATGGTGATGGTACGGGTCGAGTATGTTGCTTGGTAAAGTTTCTTATGGTCTCAAACAGTCCCCACGGGTATGGTATCATGCTCTTGAGAAGGTACTCTTCAAGCACGGTTTCACAAGGTCCATGAGAGACAACGCTTTGTATCTCATGCATACGAGTGAGGGGAAGTACATTTGGCTTTTGGTATATGTTGATGACCTCCTCCTAGTCTCAGGTTCTCTTGAGCTCCTCAACAAGGTGAAAGGTATCCTCATGAGTGCATTCACGATGACCGATCTTGGTGAGCCGAGTCATTACCTTGGTATGAATATTGTGAGAGATCATAAGTCGTGGTCCATCTTCCTATTCCAGCAAAGGTACATCCAAATGATCCTTGAGAGGTTTTGCATGGATGATAGCCAGCCTTCACCTACCTCGCTTCCTTCCAACTTTGTCTCATTGTCTTCACATCAGCCCTATGAAGAGAGAGAGTCAAGCCTTGACATTACAGGTATTGAGCAGTTGTGTCTTGAGGAGAGTGAGCATCATGGTGAGAATTCACCTAAGGTATCCCCACAAGACCTAGTTCTCTACCAAAGTCAGGTTGGGTGTCTCATGTATGCAGCCCTATGCACAAGGCCCGACCTAGCATTCACGGTATCCAAGCTAGCTCAACACATGAGTGCCCCATCACCTATCCATATGCATGCAGCCAAGCGAGCTCTTAGGTATCTCAAAGGTACTTATAATCTTAGTCTTCTCTTCCGAGCCAGCCCACACGCAAGTTCTTTCCAAGGCTTCACGGATGCAGATTGGGCGGGAGAATTGAGCACACGCAAGTCCACCGGCGGCTACATCTTCCTCATGTATGGTGCCGCTGCTTCTTGGCAATCGCGCAAGCAAAGTTGTGTGGCACTTTCTACAACCAAAGCTGAGTACATGGCAATGACCGAAGGAGCAAGGGAGGCAATCAAGTTACGTGGACTCTTGGAGGACGTGAGGCAGCCGCAAACTCAACCGACTCCGCTCTACATCGACAACACTTCAGCTATCGTATCACATTTGCATGAATGTGAAGGGTAAGGCAATGAGGTGAATGGGCTGACTGTAGATATTGTACATAGCGAAGCGGAGTCCAACGAGGATGGAAGCCGAAGAGACATTCGACGTTTCACGAACGAAGGAGGGACTTGGGGAGCCGACGGTTGCCGAGCCTAAGGGTCGGAGGGTTGCATGGGTGAGCGGGAGCTGGAACTTACGTAAGCAAGGAGGGGCGGGCTGCAGAAACAGAGGCAGACAAGGCAGCGGCAGCAGGAAGCAGCAGCGTAGGATGAGAAGGATGGGTGTTCGTATGCATGCGTGTTTGCTTTCGCTATGTGTGCAGGGTAGGTTCGGGGAGCCAGCTGGATCTGTGAGCAACAGCTGGAGGATGAGCAGACAGGGCAAGGGAGGGTGGCAAGAGGCAGCACGGCTGCACGCCTATGTGAAGTAGTTCATAGCTACTAGCATAGGCAGGGATGATAGGACCGGAATGTGGTGGTGGCTTTGCTGGTAGAATAGGCGGATTCCTGAACATATTATCCATTGCTTGTATGTTTCCCTTTTACACGAGAACTTTGCTGCAAATCGAGCAAGTGGTGAACTAAGGGAGATATGGCGAGCAAGGAACTGTAGCTAGGAGAGAGAGAGGGGGTAGTATGTGAAGGAGCAACGAGCTCATCAGGAGAAGTAGCTAACGGAATGCACCACGAGAAACAGAGGCAAGGACGACGGGGAAGGGTGAAACTAGAGAGTAAGGTGGCATGAGGAAGGGAAGGTGAGAAGTGGAACGGAGTAACAGAGGGGTGCACAGCATAGAGGCGGGTGAGCAGGTGCGGAAGGGCGTGATGAGAGGAGGAGGAGGTAAGTATCCGACAATCGCTCTTTCGAAAAACCCAGTACATCATGGGCGTACAAACGCATCGAGGTGCAGTACCATTTCGTCCATGAGCAACTAGAGAAGGGAGTTCTCGCCGTCAACTTTTGTCGTTTGTTCGATCAAGCGGCAGATTTCATGACCAAGGACCACATGATGCTTTCAACATGTGTAAGGCAAGAGCGGGTCTCATGACACTTCATGAAGCAGTGCAGCAGTTTGAGGAGAATGAGGAGTGCGAGAAGAACAGATATGGGCAGCAGCATGGAGTGTATGTGAGAGGAGCATAAGCATGGATGTATGTGTGCTTCGGGTCTGGCGATGGGGAGTGCTAGAACATCAAGATTCTGCCGCCCCAGCCCTTTGCACACAAGGAGCAGCAAGGGGAGGCTGTTGGCGACGGATCAAAGGCTTCGCGAACAAATCAGAAAGTTTCCCAACCAATCAAGATTCAGTCCAGGACTGGATAAAGTTCGAAATTGCCTTCAAGCAGAAGTGTCGGCAAGTTTCTACAGGTTTCTACAAAACAGAATCAGCTATAACTGAATTGTTATAAATGAACTTGACAGAGTGCGCAGAATAACGAATATCGAGAATGGAATTACTGAATGACGAAAACAATGAAGTAGCGAGGCCTAAATAGGGGAAATCCTAGCTAGGCGGGGGGTTCGGAATGGGATGGGTCGGTGATGGTTGCGATTGGAGCGGAGGCCGACTTGGGGTTGGTTCGGTGCGACGAAATAGGCCGAACAGGTTCGTCGCGTGACCCTCGGGATGTACTCGCTAAAGTGCGAGTGCCTCAGTAAGGATTTGTAAATCCTTACATGAATCCAGAAATTTTTAGAAAATTCCAAAAAATTCCAGAAAATGTGGCTCTCAAGTCACTCAAGCTTCATGGAAGCTGGATTGTGCCCAAGTTCCCAAGGGAGTTACCTTGGCCTTGTTCGGTAGGCTGCCTAGTCCGACTGCGGATGGGTCAGGCAGGTTCCCCATTTAGAATGTATACATGCTTAAAGCCCATGAATTCGTTAGTAGAACACCGAGCCTAGCCAGTTGGAGTTTGGTACCGAATGCCTCTATTTGCTAGTCGGACTGTGATAAGACTGGCCGCGACGAAGCTGAGGGAGAAGTTTCTTCCCGTGTCAAAAACCAGTTGGAGTGGAGCTGTGGCCCACTACAAGCCCCCCCCTTAATACAGGCCTTCTTCTGTTGGCGCATTAGGGGTGCTGAGCCCAGACTTTGAACATTCTCGGAACACGCAAGTTAATGATTAAAGCCCATCTCGAGCCTCCGAAATCGTTATTGTCTCCCGAACCTCTGGTGCGGGAGTTGTGCGCGCATTATTCATGCGTGCGCAAAAACGCTGAGCTCACTGTGCGCTGAGAAGATTCCACGAGCTTGGTTCCACCGGCAAATTTCCCGTATGGTCTGTGCGAGCCCTATGCGCTCGTCGACGGGGAATTGAAGAGGCGCACAACCAATAACGGGCAGATTGAACGCCCGTTTTGGGGTATTTGTTCGGTGGAATACTCGCCCCAAAAACAATCTGACGGCTACCCAGTAAGATAGCCACATCCAGAGCATCAGTTTGCATATTTTGCACTCAGAAAGGGTGTCAGGGCAGTACGAAACAACGATTTTTTGGAAACACGGGGAAAAACAGTTTGTAGTTTTGTCGATTAGTGGACTCTTCGACGATGTAGCAGGCCCTTTCTACTTTCGCGGAAAACGTTGCTCGCAGAACCTGTGCGGCAGTGGCGAATGGCCTGTGCGCCAACAGAACAAGGCCACAGTTACGGGGGAAAGAAAATACCCCAGGATGAAGCTACTTCGTTGTTGTCGCGCAAGCTCCCGAAATTAAATGCGAAGGTGCCTTCAGTTAGATTTGGGGCCCGAGGCTAGGAAGCCCCACGAAGGGTTCGCCAGTGCGAGTGGGCCCACTCACACTGGGTGCCTACCGAACAAGGTCTATCAGCCTAGTTTGAGCTATCAATCTGGCTTGTTTGAGCTATACTCGCTGTAAAGATTTCTGGTTTAGTGGGCTTGTAAAATCTTGAGCATCGGAAGTTTCCTATCATCTAAGCCAATTCCAGCCAAGTTTCCCGCTTTTCTAGTAATCACAGCAGCTACTCTGTTTTACCTCTCCCTCCTAGCACATTTCTTCTCGATTCTTCTCCATTTCACTCCCGCTTCTCACGCCGTAGCTTCTAATATCCGCCGTAGGCCGATTTCCACGCGCTTCCATTCCGCCGTCATTCCGCATTTCGCCGTAGGGGTTCCGAGGTTTGGCGAGCCATCACTAACACCGCCCTAATGGAGGCCATTCGCGCCTCGTCCTCCGTCGCCGCCCGTCATCACCTCTGCTATTCGCCGCGCCAAGCCTCTCTTTCACCGTCGTCTCACCGCGTCGCGCCGAGCATTCACTTCTCCGCGCTGCCGCCCGCCTGCCATCCGCACTCGCGCGTCGCACCCACCCTCTCCGCCGCTGTGCGAGCGCAAAGCCCGTCGCGATGCCTCTCGTCTCTGGGCCGCGCCAAGCCACGTCCGATCGCCGTGAGAGCCACCCCGGTCGGCTCCATGCGGCGAGTGACAATAGCGGGGGCCGTGGTGGCGGCAACGGCGGAGGCGGGGTCTGCTGAGAGCGAGGGTGGCCGTGCGGTGGAGGCGGAGGGCGGCGCAGCGCACGGGACGGGGCGTAGCGAGAGCAGCGCGGGCAGCGACGGCGGAGAGGGAGGTGAGGGCAGCGACAGCGACGAGGGCGGGCTGTCGCGGAAGGAATTGCGAAAGCGGCGGCAGGAGCGACGATTGCGGCTGATGGTGAGCGGCATGCGAGGCTGCTTGGCGGAGGGGCCGCGGGTTTAAGAGGGGTTTAGCAGATGTGCGGGCAGGGACCGCTGGAAAACCGCAGCCTCATCGCTCAGCTGCGTGGGTGCGCGGAGCGACCCTGATGCGGGCGATGGTGGGTGGAGGTGAGGGCGCTGGGACAGGCCAGTGCGCACACTCTCACCACTCTCATCCGCCCCACACACACACGCACACAAACTCACACACCACCATCCACACGAACCCCCCACCCCTTCCTCCTGTCCCCCGTGTCCCCCATGTCCCCCGTGTACCCCCTGTCCCCCCTGTCCCCCGTGCCCCCCGTCTCCGCCGTGCCCCCCAGGAGCCGGAGGCGGTGGAGCAGCGGAGGCGGCAGCAGGAGGAGCGCGTGATGGCGGCCATGGCGCCGCTCAGGAAGCGCCCCGCCAACCCCGGTGGACGCCGCAAGAAGACGGCGCCGGGGGGAGAGGGGGATGCGGGGAAGGCGGAGGGGGCAGATGCAGAGGCGGGAGGGGAGGAGGTGAAGGCGGACGGAGTGGATGGTGGTTCAGGGGATGGGGGAGGTGAAGGGGGGGTGTTGGCAGGAGAGGCGGCAGTGGGTGGTGGAGAGGGGCAGGTGATTGAGGCGAAGGGAAGCATGGGCGAGGCAATGGGGTCGGCAATGGGGTCGCAGCAGGTGGAGGTGGGCGATGTGGTGGAGGCGATGAGGGCGCGCGGCATGCAGTGGTGGAAGGTGGGCACGTTCCGCGGGGGCGAGTTTGAGGCGCAGCAGCACATCGCCGCCCTGCTGGCCCACCACTGCCCGGGCGAACCGTGTGAAGTGCGTGCTGCTCCGTGGGATGGCGCTGAGCGAGTGGAGGGATGAGAGTGAAAGGGTTTAGGGAGGGAAGCAGAGGAGCGTGTGGAGGGGAGTTGTATTGACTGGCGAGGATGCATTGGAGGAATGGCGACTCTGCTTGCCTCACTAGAATCCCCTTCACATGTCCTTCAGGCAGCTCGTCCTTCTCCCCATCTTGGTTTCCCCTCATCGCATTTCACCTTCTGTAATGTCTGCATCTGCATCTCTCGCACCATCCTTCTCTGCTCGCCCTCATCACATCGCAGATATTCATCCCGGCCATCCGCTCGCCTCAGCATGCCAGCATAATGCGCCGGGCAGCAGCGGCCATGGAGGAGGGCGGCCCTCCCCCACCCTTGGGGGCGGGCATGCAGCGCATAGAGCCGTGTGTGCTCTACGTGCGCTGCACCATGTCCTCCGCGCTCTACAAGCAGGTGCGCGCTCTACAAGCAGGTGCGCGCTCTACAAGCAGGTGCGCGCTCTACAAGCAGGTGCGCGCTCTACAAGCAGGTGCGCGCTCTACAAGCAGGTGCGCGCTCTACAAGCAGGTGCGCGCTCTACAAGCAGGTGCGCGCTCTACAAGCAGGTGCGCGCTCTACAAGCAGGTGCGCGCTCTACAAGCAGGTGCGCGCTCTACAAGCAGGTGCGCGCTCTACAAGCAGGTGCGCGCTCTACAAGCAGGTGCGCGCTCTACAAGCAGGTGCGCGCTCTACAAGCAGGTGCGCGCTCTACAAGCAGGTGCGCGCTCTACAAGCAGGTGCGCGCTCTACAAGCAGGTGCGCTGCACCGCGCCCTGCCCCATCCAGCGGCTGCCCCTTTCCATGCACCGTCATGTCTCTCACCGCCCCTCTATGCCTCTCACCACTCTCTCCCTCTCAGAACTTGGAACATGCCTGTGTGCCGTGCCTCGTGTGCCCCTCTGCTCCCTGCACGCCAGGTGGTGGCTCTGGAGCGAGTGAGAGGCTTCGTAGGGGAGGTGGTGGGCAAGGGGTGAGTGGGGTCCAGGGATGGGTGGGGGGTGGGGGAATGAGAGGGCGAAATTTCAAGCAAGGAATAGGTGTGTGATGGAGCATGCAGCTTGTTACGAGTTATCCATGCAGCAAATAAATCATCACCCGATTCCGCTTATCTCACCGCACGGCATCCCTTGCCGCCCGCCCTCCCACCCGCAGCAAGTACGGCAACATGCTGCCGCGGGCCATCCCGCTGGTGGAGCTGGCGGCCGTGGTGGAGCTGGTGAGGGGCAAGCAGGCCGAGGCGGACCGCCAGGCGCACGACGCAGAGAGGCGCGGCGCTGTTGCACAGGCGGGGAAGAAGGGTGCAGGTGGGGCTGACACGCCGGAGGAGGAGGGGGGGTTGGATGGCGAGGGTGAGGGGGGAGCTGCAGCAGGAGTGGTGAGCAAGGGGGCACGCATGCGGTCGGCAGGTGTGGCAGGCCAAATGGGAAGTCGTGCTACTCGTGGTGCTGGTGGTGGTGCTGATTATGAAGACAGTGTTGATGCCGATGCTGCTGGTGGCACTTTCAGTGCAGGCAGTGGCAGCAGTGGTGGCGGGCCCTCTGGCTTGAGCTCACGGCATGATGACCCCAGGGCCAGCAGCAGGGGCCGTGGCGGCGGCAGAGGCACCAGTAGCAGGGGCAGAGGCAGATGGAGCAGAGGGGGGAGTTCAGGGAGGGAGAGCAATGGGGATGAGGGTTGGGGCAGCAGAGAGAGTGAGGAGGGGTGGAGATATAGTGGCAGTGGCAGTGGAAGTAGGGACACGTGGAGCAGGTGGGGGCAGATGGAGGAGAGGCCTGCAGGGGGCGGGCAGGGTAGGGAGTCACGCGGTGGTGGTGGGAGGAACGGGCGGCAGACATGGCGGCGAAGGGTGGATGAGCGAGGGGAAGGGGAAGAGCGGGTCGGAGGGCCTTTCGAGGGGCTCAGGGACAGCAGCAGGTGATGTGGTTGGCAGCACACTTGGCTGAGAGAATCTGTTGTGTGGACGCGTCCCTCGAGTGCCCCATCGAATGTATGGGCATAGGAACGTGCTGTTGAACTGATCTTCTTTTTGATGTACTAATGGTAAAAGAGTTTCTTACCGTAATCTCCCGTATATAGGACCCGGGGGTCTTATCAGAAATGTTGTGAATAATGATTAGGTGAACAATACCAAGGGGCATATTTACTAAGACCCCTGAACACATTAAGAATTCATAGAGCACAATGTATTCACTCATAGCACTGGAAAGTCAAGCTTTTACCGAGGGTGTTGAATTCTGTCAGAATGAAGAATGGATGATGCATTGATGTTGGTTGGGGTACATATAGCTAACCCTAAGTTTTGTACCCCCTAAGACAAACCTCACTATAGGCTACAACATTTGACACACCCCCATAGCCTAAGTGAGGGGTGTCTAGCAGAACCAAACGAGTACGGTCACAAGACCAGTCCAAGAAACGAAGCTCAGGGTGGATCACAACGTCACCACACAGTCTGAGCACAAACAACAGTGGCCACAAGGCCAGTCCAAGAAGTAACAGAGATATATAGAAAGCAAAGTAAACAGTACACTCAAGTCTAAGCAACACGAGAACCAGTGTCAACAAGGCCTAACTGCACACAGCACCTCTGGTGGTCACAAGGCGGAAGCGCCTTGGTGAAGATGTCTGCAGTGTTGGCCTCGGACTCCACAAACTCAAAGCGAGCCTGTCCACGCCTCTGCAACTCTCGCAGAAGAAAGTACCTGACGTGAATGTGCTTCACTCTGCTCTCCAGTCGTGGCTCTCGACAAAGGAGAATAGACGCCTTGTTGTCAGTGAACAAGGTCGGTGCAGAGCTCGGCCGCTCACCAAGGTCGGTGAGCAAGAAGGTCAACCAACGCAGCTCCTGTGCCGCCATGGCACCAGCGTAGATCTCAGCCTCAGCTGTAGAGGTCGAGACCGAAGAGGAGCGCGTGGACCGCCAGGAAACAGCTCCAGAACCCAGGCTGAAACAGTACCCCTGAGTAGACCTGTGAGTCTCAGCGTCGTCAGCGTAAGAGGAGTCACAGTGACCAGTAAGTACGACAGACTGCTGCCCTCCAAGAACTAGCCCCACGCCTGATGTCGTCGCTAGGTACTTCGCCACCCTCACAGCTGCTGTCCAGTGAACAGGACGGTGTCTCCCTGGCGCAACAAAGCGCGCAAGGACGCTGAGAGGGAAGGCGAGGTCCGGGCGAGTACAAGTCATCAGGTACATGAGGCAACCCACAAGCTCTGCGTAGGGACCACTAGGCTCGAACGGCTCGTCAGGAAAGGGTCCAGTGAGTCTGTGGTCAACAGCAAGAGGTGTGCGCTGTACTGTGGAGTGCTGAAGCCCGAACCGCTGAAGGACCTGCTGCACCATGTGTGACTGTGAAAGTGTAATGGTGCGAGCAGCTCTGTCCCTGGTGATCTGCAGGCCAAGGTAGTGGCGCAGCTCACCAAGATCAGTGCAGGTGTGTCTCTTCTGCAGTTCGGACTTCACGTGTGCCAAAGCAACCCTGTCAGGGGTGGCGAAAACAAGGTCGTCAACGTAGACCAGAACAAAGAAAGGTGTGGGGCCACGACGAACGAACAGCGACGGGTCAGCAGAAGACGGCTGGAACCCAAGGTCAGACAGGGTAGAACGCAGGGTGTCGTGCCACTCACGAGGAGCCTGACGAAGACCGTAAACTGGTCGCCTCAGCCTCCACTGGGTCCCAGGAGGGAAAGAGCCAGTGAAGGCAGAGGGACGACGCAACCAGACCTCCTCGTGAAGACTGCCCTGAAGGAAAGCAGTAGAGAAGTCGAGAGAGTGTAACTCGTAGTCTCTCTGTGCTGCTACGTGTAGTAACACCCGAAGAGTGGTCATCTTCGGGGTGGGCGCGAAGGTCTGAAAGAAGTCAACTCCCTCGCGCTGACTGAAACCTCTAGCCACGTAGCGCGCCTTGAAGACCGGAGGAGATCCCGGTGGCCGCTTCACCCTGTAGATCCACATGCCGTCGACTACGTTCGCCCCCGGAGGGGGAACCTCATCGACGTAGGTGCCTGTGGATCTGTAGGAGGCCATCTCTGCGTCCATGGCAGCTCTCCACTGAGAGGCCCAAGGCCCTGACACTGCCTCAGCGTAAGTGCGAGGAGTCGGAATGTCAAGGGCGTCGGGGTCACCCTCAGGGGCGAGGAGCATGGCACAGAGATGAGGGGAAGCGGCCGCCAGGAACTCTAGCTCAAACTGCCTGTCCTCTAGGGCGTCACAGCCAAGGGCAGACACACCCCCGACGGCCAGAGGACTGGAAGGAGGAGCAGCCACAAGAGCGGTGGCGAAGTCAAGGCGGCGGGTAGAGGCAAACTCAGTGACTGCGGCAGTAAGAGCGGACACAGAGGACACAGAGGCACGAGGGTGGGTAACAAGAGAGGCGAGAACACGAGAGAGAACAGGACGGTACGAGCGGTAGTAGTCAGTGACAGGAGAAGGAAGCGACACAGTGAGGGCCGACTCAGGAGGAGACGGAAGCACAGACGGAGACGGACGAGGTGGACGAGAACAAAGGAAGGCTGTACGAAGGTAAGTGAACGGAACAGGAGACGAGGGACGAGCACGAGGGGAGCGACGAGAGGCCCAAGTCTGAGAAGGAGGAGGAGACAACGAAGACTGAGAACGAGGGAAAACAGCGGGAGAGGGGTCAGGAGGAGGAAGCGGAGGACCAGAGACGGGAGGAGAGGGGGAGGAGGAAGGAGAGGGAGACGGGAGACCAAGGGTCCGAAGACCCGAGACAGGAGGAGGAGACGGCAGCAGCTGCTGCTGCTGCTGCTGCGGCTGCTGCGGCTGCTGCTGCTCCAGCGGCTGCTGCCCCTGCTGCTGCTCCTGCTGCTGCTCCTGCTGCTGTCGCTCCTGCTCCTCGAGCCGCTGCAACTCTCTCTCCTCTCTCTCCAACTCCAGCTGCTCCTCACGAGCACGGCGAACACGAGCCTGGAACCTGGTCGGGTAGGGGTGGGGGGAAGGAGTAGTGTCCGGGGCAGCGGCAGCCCCAGAGTCGACCTCCGAAGCACCAAGCACACCACCCCCAGAGGCAGCACCAACACCAGCTCCAGACCCAGGCTCTCCAGAAACCGAAGGGACACCCTCACCCCCAGACGCAGCACCCCCAGACTCCGCACCAGCACCCCCAGACTCCGCACGACCAGTACCAGCCCCCGGAAGACAAGAGTCCTCTGCAACCCGCGGCTCAGCTCCAACTCCAGCACCCCCAGAACCAGAGACCTGTACAGGGACAGTCGCAGGACCAACCTCCCGAGAGGGAGCACCTGCAGGAGGCGGCGAGGAAGACTGTGGGGAGGGAGGCTGTACAGGGGGGGCTACCGAAGGGGGAGGGCTAGCCTGAGACACACCAGACGGGGCTGGACCAGGGGGGGGAGGCTGTACCGGGGGAGCAGGCGGGGGAGCGGCGGTCAGGAAGAGAGGGGGGGGAGGGACCGGGAGACCTCGACTGGGGTACCTGACGTAGTAGGGGGTGGACTCCTCGAAACGGACGTCACGGGAGTCAAAGAACCGGTGAGAGGGAGGGTGGTAAAAGGTGAAGTCAGAGGAGTCCTCAGGGAAACCAAGGAAGACACAAGGAATGGCGCGAGGCGAGAGCTTGTCCGCGGAGGTGTCGCGGACAAGAGCCAAGCACCCCCAGACACGAAACCTCGACGCGACACCAGGGGACCCTGTCCAAAGACTGGTCGGTGAAGCCTCCGGCCGAGAGACGCGTGGCCAGAGGTTCAGCTGGTGCGCGGCGTACCTGACCGCGTATGGCCACAGGAAATGGGGGGCACGGGCGTGAGTCAAGGAGGTGCGGGCAATCTCCATGACCAGGCCTATGCGACGCTCAGCAACCCCATTCTGCTGTGGGGACTCCGGAAGCGTCCAGGACTGACGAATGCCCTGTTCGCGACAGAATCCAGCGAGAATGCCGGAGCGAAACTCGCCCCCGCGGTCGGAGTGGAGACAGCTGACACGACGACCACGAGTGTCCTGGGTGGTAAGCAACCACCTGATCAGCGTAGAAGTCACCTCAGACTTCCTCGCCAGGGGGAACACTGTGGTGTAGCGGGAGTAGTCGTCAACGACCACCAAAAAGAAACGCTCACGCTCAGGGCCAGGGCGAGGAGAGGGGCCCCAGACGTCCAAGTGCAGCGTCTCAAAAGGCTCGGTGGCCGGACGAAGGGAGGAGGAGTGAGGGGTGGCGCGCAGCCTACCCTCGACGCAAGGACCGCACGGTGGTGCAAGGGACGGCGGCAGCGACGGCAAGACACGCGGGAGACCTAAGACAAGACGCTGACGAGACATAGCGCGAAGACGAGGAGGAGAAGGGTGCCCCAGCCGGTGGTGCCACAAAACGGTGGGGTGGGCAAGCGACCGACAGGAGCACGACGCAGCGACCGGACTAGACGGAGGAACCTGACAAGACACAGCTACCTGGGGGGACGGAGCAACCTGGTGAGACGCGAGGACTCGAACGGGGGGCAAAACAGGGGCCGGGGGCAGGAGGGGCGGCTGTGGCTGCGGCTGCGGCTGCTGCTGCTGCTGCTGCTGCTGCTGCGGCTG